CTCTCCTTCTCCCAGCTGTTATGTCTCAAACCATCAGCTTTGGCAAGAAAAGGATATCCTGTCTAGTCACTGGTAATATCCAGATTTATAACCTGACATAACATTTGCTTATGCTCATTCCATGGGAGGACAGTGCTTATCTGGAGAAAAAAAAAAATCTTGTTAGAAATCAACATGTTTAAAAAGGTTATGGAAAGCACCAAGCTAAAGGAGACTTCATGTGAAACTCAAATAGCTAAGTGCAGAACCAGACTGAGAAGAAAATTGTACGGCGGAGGTGGGATTCAGGAGGAATTTTTCTTCTAAAATATGACAACCCACCTACAATCATTCACCACCTTATTATTAAAAAAGATAATAGAGATAACACTCAGAAGACACTTTCCATAGTCATTTGATTGCAGTCAAATCAAGAACCAAAAAGAGATTTCTGCCCTTTAGGCTTGTTGTATATTTTAGTAAACTATATGTGCTGAATGTGATTAAGTGGGCTGTTTTTTAATTAATTCCATTTTTTTGCTGTTTTTTTTTTCCCCATTTTTTTTTTTTTTTTTTTCTAGTTGCTTATCTTAACTTTGGCCTGGGTATACCTAAGGGATCTAATTTATGTAAACTACCCAATTACCCTTCAAGTGCTGTTTGTCTCAGCTGCAATTTATAAATGAATCTGAATCCAGGAGAGGAATTGTAATTATATGAATAATCAGAAAAAGAAAATGAAGAAAAACTGCAACATTTCTTTAATATTATGTTTTAGAAAGTTAGCATTGCTACAAGCAGAGATCTCCAAAACCAGAAATGTATCCCTGTTTTCCCTGCCTCAGTCGCACATTAATTTCAAAGCACCCATCATAGATTGAAGGCCACCAGTAGCCATTTCACACTTTTGCTCAACAATGTTTATAATAAGACTCTTCCTGGAAGCTAGTGGGGCATCTGACCGTACAATTTCAAAATGGTTAGATGTGAAAAAGGCAAGCATCGCATCTAGAATGACAGGACAAAAAGACACTGAAGAAAAAGGAAATTCATATCTCCTGAAAGGCTTCAAATATTAGATCGGGCTACCTTAGGACATGTTTAGATGGTCCAGAAACTGCTGATGAGAGACAACATACCTACTGGAGAAGACATTGTTCCAGTGATGAACATTCTCATACTACGTGACCTTCTTAATCCTTTCATGTACTCAATATTCAATTAAATGACACCTGAATATTTAAGTCACTCAAAATGTTGAGGTCAGGCCACTGCTGTGCAAAACATATGTTGTCTTGCAGGGTTGATCCTAAGGTCCGTGGCTTGTACTCTGTTTCCTACAGTATGTCAAACAACAAGTTTTAGAGGAAGCCATTAACATAAACATATCACAAGAGTTTGATATCAGATAATCAGCTTCTTCTCTCTTTCCCCTTCTCATCTGAATTATACAAGAGTTGACAATTAGCTCTGAAGCATGTGGTATCATGTTCCACCTAGAATCTGCTGAATTAATTTTGGTAATTCTGACACCCCAAAAACTACCCTGATTAAATTTTGGTCTCAACAACCTCAAGTAACATAAATGTTTCATAAATGACTTACTGGTTCTGTAAGTATTTCCTTCAGGTGAGCTTGAGGTTCCCACCTTTAAATTTATTGAAAGTGCCATTTTTCTGTGCTCTGAGACATAAGAGGAAAAGTTTCTAACCTATTCACTCTATAATATTAAAGATTCCATTAGACATTTTTTCTTTTAGACTTTTTCACCTCTTTTAGACTTCTCCACCTCCTTTCTAAGGACTTCAATAATGTTATTATAAATTGCTCATGATGTATTTTCAGACTATCAACTATTCGGAAGTGTTGTCCTCTACTCAGAGGTTCTCACCTTTATAAGTTGACAAGGTTTGGTAGTACCATGGAAAATACTTAGTTTGCACTTTTCTTCAGGTGTTATTATTGTTGCACCTAACTCAGGAGTTAGCTCCTCCCAACTACGTACAATACTTTTCTACCCTCTGTCTCTCTTAGTCTCCATAGTGGACCAGCACTCCCTCTCCGTTTTGCTCCCACACAGATTTCTGGAGTGAGCTGCCACTCCCTCAATGTGATCTATCTTTTCAGTTCATCAGATCTTGCTTTGGGGTGTGATGCACAATGTAGGTGCAACACCTCAGAGAAAGCTGGCTCCAGTTTCACCTGCAGACACCACAGGTGGTCATAAAAAATCATGCCGTAAACCTGCTATATTGGCACAGGAAAATCTCAGCTAAATAAAACAAAGAACTCTAGTAGTTCTGATCTTGTACGACAGGGACCACTACCATTTCAGACTGGTAGCTGAGAAGAGCTGTCACAGAAGCATTGCTAAAGATTGCAAAAGCTATATTGGTGACCTTCAGTCATGTGGTAAGTGAGCGTAAGTCTGCAGCTTTCTGATAGGTAAAATCCCATGGTTGATATCTTCCTAGAATATTTTTATCATGTCAAAAAAGTTGTGTCAGAAATCCATGAAATTGTGCAGATTCACACACAGCTTTCCAAATATTGTATTAAGTTTATGTAGCAAGATTTTGGAAGCAGGCAAGCTGCAGGGACCTTTTCTGTGTGCAGCACCCAGCACTGCCCCATCACAGATCAGAGCACCTCCAGCTGCTCCACAGGGACCTGCCCCTGGATGGAGCTGAGCCATGAGAGATGCTGGATGCACCACCTCTGGGTGAGTGGGTTGAAGGGAGAGAATCAGTGCTGTGAAACAGCAGCTGGGAGAGAGGGTGAGAGATGGGGGAGAAGTGTCCCTGCAGTTCCCAAGGTCGGTGCAGGAGGAGGGCAGGAGGTGCTCCAGGAGCGGAGCAGCCATTCCCTGCAGCCCAGGAGGGTCCCATGGAGGAGCAGGTTGTCCCCTGCAGGCCATGGGCACCACATGGAGCACATCTCCGTGTGCAGCCATGGAGGAGCCCATGGTGCAGCAGTGGATGTGGAAGAGCCCATGGTGCAGCAGTGGATGTGGCTGGAAGGAGGCACAGCCCTTGGAGAGCTCCATAGGATCAGCCCCAGGCTGGAGCTGCAGCCCGTGAGGCCCTGTGCCTGAAGGGTGGGCCCTGCAATAAATAGACGTGTTGGAGCAGTGCTGGGAGAACTGTGGGAAGTTCATGTGGGATCAGTTTGGCAAGGACAGCATCCTGTGGGAGTGACCCACATGGGGCAGGGACAGAGAGCGACCATGGAGGAGCTGCAGCCACCATGAGGCCTCTGCTCTGGGCTGAGCGTACCCAGGGACCTCAGCTGCTCCTCACACACTTTGCTTTCCAGACCCTTCCCCGTGTTTGTTGCCCTCCTTTAGACACTGCCTAATAGCTTTATGCCCTTTTTATACTGTGGGCCCAAACCCACGCCCAGTGCTGGAGGTGAGGCTACACCAGTGCAGAGCAGAGGGAACAACCCCTCCCTTCGTCCAGTGGCAGTGCTAGGCCTGAAATTACATTTAGTTCTTCAGGCAGAAGCAATACAGCCCTATTTAGATTTACAAAGGCTGCCCTGGCTCTTGCTCTCATCTTGGATGTTATAATTTTATCCTTTTATTTTCCAAGGTTGCTGGGTATTCCATGGAGATTCATGAATGTATATATATACATTCATACACACATATATGGATACTCCATGAATATACTCAGGAATCATAAATGTTCAATTCTACACCATATTGTACAGATGTATAACTGGAAGATATGATGCCCAACACAGTGTTTATGTGTCCTACTCTTGTTTTCCTGCTCACACAGGTTTATTTTCTCTCTCAAGTTCAAAGTATGCAACTCAAAAAGTCCAGAAAATAAGGGACATGCCTCAGAGTATGTGCTTTGCTCAGCTTTGTGACTGTCTTATTTGTCTCTACAGCAATTCGTGCAAGTTAAGCCAAACAAAGATCTACTGTACCTTGACAGCAGGACCATCTGGAGTTCATTCTTGTAATTATTTTCAGGCATACACGGTCCTCCTCTGGCAAATAGGCATTTTAAGGCATCACGGGGCATGTTCATTAGCATACTGGGAATCAAAAGGCGAGTCTTATATCATTCCAAAAATTATATTTTGGTCATCATAAGTAATCAATCCTGATATAGAAAAAGTGTGAATGAGTGTGTGCCTGTGTGGTGTAAAGATATAATTATATGGCTGCCCATCTGCAAGCTGGGAATTACAGATGACAGTCAGAGAAGATTGATTTTTCATCCTATAGCCTAGGAACTGTCTTTTTAATTGCAACTGTTTCACCAATTCTTTGCAGGGATTGCATCTGGTAAAGGGAATTAAAGACATTCAGACTGTGAAAAGAATTGCAGCACAAATGTATTAGAATCGAGACCTATTTGCATCTAGATACACATTCTGATTGCATATTTTATAGGTGAGCAGAGAAAACAGTGTTGGGATTTTTATAGGGAAGCACTGTGAACTGATAGTGCTCAAGCAGAATTTGGAAATTGATGTACCAGATGTAAACATGTGCCTTTCTGGCTGACACTGAGAAAATAGATCCTTCCTGGGTCTAATTTACAAAAGTAACTAAGCAAGTTAGAAGTCCATGATCAAAAAGACATTAAAAAAAAAAAAAAAAAATGTGCAAAGGAATGGAGATAGCAAGTTAGATTTACAAAAGCCTAGAGATGATTTCCAGTGCCCTGACAATTTGGTCATCTTCTTGATCTCTAGCAGGTGATTGTCTGCATATTTAGATGCTTTGGTACCATTGAAAATCTGTCCCTGAACATAGAAAACATTACCAAGACTTCACTACATTGGAATAAAAGATTTACTTCCTCCTTGAGAGCTTTTGATAATTAGCCACGCCCTGTCACTCTTATTTGTTAATTAAGGAATAACTACCCCTAGGGACAGGATAGATTAGATTAATTTTAATTGGTGATGAGTTAATCCCACTTTGGGTGGGAAATTGACATCCTGATCTCCAGAAGTACCTATTAAAAAATTATACTGTAGAAATCCTTCATGGAAGATGAAGGGAACAAAGTATTACCCTATGTTAGTCTAAGAGACAGTTTTAATTTGATGGTGTTTGTGGCTTTTCCTAAATGCTTATACTAATTTTGTCCCAAATTTTTCATTCACTCATGACAATGCACACTTAATCCTTCTGATTTTCTAATCTTCTTGTACCCAGAGGAGTATTATTCTTTCATCCTACCAGTAATTTGCAAATGATGTGGAAAAAAAAACTAAACAGAGATTCCCACAATAAACGGACATTTTGTCTTTTGTCAGGAGGGGGGGGGGTCTCTTATTCTATGGGCAAATGGGCCCACACCAACCAGGACTTTATAAATCCTACTAGTATCTTACTTTATCCTTCCATTTTAACAGCAGTGTGCAGTGGTAGCTTAATGCAATCGAAACCCTTTTTGCTTTCAGCTGGAACTGCCATATGGAAACTTGTTAAAAGATGTAATAACTTTCCATAAAAACTGTCGTGACTAGCACTATTTATCTATTCACACACTTGTACAGCAGTCTTCTGTAAGGATTTTGCTAGCTGTCCCAAAGCTTGCTGAGATGGACATATGTCAGCTTGGACTGCCAGTGAGAAGTAATGTGTAAAAGAAAGCTTACAAGGTCATTACAAGGTAATTATGTTTATTCTCCTTTCCAAAATATAATAGCTAAATAATTTCATGTAGTTAGTATTAACTTGATAAAGAATAACCTGTACTGTTGCTTTGCATGACATTTTTCAATTAAATCTCCCTTATGTTATACACACGCATAAAAACATAAAAGCCCAGCACAACATTTTGCATTGAGATTCCCACTAGTCAAAATGCATTAGAGTTGCCACTGGAGAAATGTGAAAATCAGATTCTTCCTTCAGATGATCAAGATTCAAAAATAAAATGACTTCAAACACTGGAGATATATGTGCAAGGATTGAGCTTGTAAGCTTTGTTATAGATGCTTAGATAAATATAAAACTCTGAAATCTTTCTTTTCACTATTCTAAGTAGCTATGTGAAGTCAGACTTTAAAGTTGGTAATTGAAATGAGATACGTGTATAGGAGCTGGATAGAAATGTCACACTGAAAAGAAGATGAACAGCTAAAATGGAAGCTTCCTCAGATCCTAAATATTTCATTTCTACTCATGAGGATAGCTTTAGTGCTCATCATTTAAAATTATTCTGTTTCTCAGGTCATGGTAATTTTGAAAGTGCAGTTCATGAGTTTTCTGCCCATATTTTAAAAGAAAATGCCTTTGTGAAAGAGAAGGATCAAGCTAAAACAAGCTCTACAGCAAAGGCTGGGCAGAGAAAAGGGGGTGGGATGAATTCTCATGAGAGGAGAAAGACAAAGCACAAAAGTTAAATTTACTAGAGGTCTGCCATACTCTCAGAGCAGATATAAAATATAAGACAGCATATTTCTAAACAAAGGAATATCTTATCTTTTACCAAGCAGGCACAAATGGTTGTGGATTCAGTGAAATATGCTTGAAACGGTGGACTCGAGGGACCCCCAGCCTCTGTGCTCTGGAAAAAAGCAGCCATCCCTGCGGGGTCCTGATCACGCATGCAACAGGTATTTGCTAGCAAAACCCCTGTGGAGTCAGCAGCACTTGTCTTTGTGTAGAATGGATCTCCAATTCCATGGTCACTCCAGTCCTCATGCTGTAGTACTATGTGTTCAAAACACTTCACCATCCAAGTGCAGCTCTCAAATGGCTCATTAGGCACAAAGGTGCCTCAGCAGGCACAGCCAAGCTGGTAAAGCCAGGACACTCCTCTCTGAGTGCTTACCTTTGATTTGTAGCTTGTTTACAGCAACACCAGCTGGGGTTGGCCCTGTGGTGGAAAGAACTGTTTAGTAAGGTTTGTCAGTGAGGAGTTTCCATGTTACCCATCAGTTTATGCAAGCTCTTTCTAAACCTTCTGATGGTTGCAGCATCCTCCACAACAAACTCCAGAAGTTCATTTTGTCCTATTAAGCAGAAAAGTTCTTTCATCTAATTAAAAAACAATTTCATAATACGTACCTAGTAGCTGCAGTTCTGTGGGACTTGGTGGCTACCTCATATATAAAAGGTAAATTTTTGAGTGGCTGAAGTTGGCAGGGACCTCTGAGTCCATCTGGCGAAGCCCTGCCCCAGCAGGGACTCCCAGAGCAAGGTGACCAGGTTTACATCCAGGTGACTTTGGAAGATCCCCGAGGAGGAGACCCCACAGCCTCTGGGCAGCCTGTGCCAGTGCTCCGTCACCTCCACAGAACAGCAGTGTTCCTGGTGTTCAGAGGGAACCTCCTGTGTGCCAGTTTGTACCCTCTGCCTCCTGTCTTGGCACTGGCACCACCGAGCAGAGCCTGACTCCATTGTCTTTTTGTCTTTGCTCTTTTCCCTTCAGGTATTTATGGACATTGATGAGATGCCCGTGAGCCTTCCCTTCTCCAGGCTGCACAGTCCTGCATATCTCACTGTTCATCCCACTTGTAGGGTTCAAGACTCATGGTTATATTTTACAGAAATGGTGAAGACTCCCATCAATAACACTAATCCCACTATTTTGCAATTCTTCCTCTCCTAGATTCCGTTTTCCCCATTATACTAATTCACTTTCACAAAAGAAGCAGGATAATCCAAAATTATTTAACTGGAAACCTCTATAGCTTTGTTATAGTGAATATTGTTTGTGCAGCTGTCTAGCAGTGAAACACTGCAGCAGATGACCAATCTTCCCTTTCGCATCTTCACCTGTCTCCATGCCTTTACTTCAGTCATGTTGTTAAAAAATATGAGCAAATATTCAAGGCTTTATACACTTTGTGGGCATATACAAAAAGTTTCAGTGTCTCACAGAATTAAAAAAAAAAAAGAAAAAGAAAAGAAGCCTTGAATATGGTATATAAACCACTGCAGAATGACACAGTTTGAGGGTTGAATTCATAATGCAATATCTTGAGACTCCAACAGCAAGTGGAATCAGAAACAACTTCCCCAAAAGCCATTTGCAGCTTGTTTTAACTAAAATATGGAGAACAAAGTAAATCTATCCAACCCTGCCTTTCTGTTCCTCTGGTGAAAAGATTTACTGAGTCTTGAGGCAGTTAATTTGTCATCTGAAGTCCCTGTCTGCTTTAATTCATATGGGCTGGATGGCGATCAGCAGAGCCTCAGTTTTGGAACACCGTGTTTACAAAGAAAGTGCTGTTTACCATGCTGAAGACTGCGATGCCATCTGAGACAGAGATCCCAGTATTGTTGGGAAAACACCTTCCAGATGGCAACACCTCCTAGTATTCAGGTAAATATCCAGATATTGTATTGACATAGTAAAATATTGGGTGCAGTTTTTAGATCTGGAACCAGAAGAAGTCATGCTTCTCTGGTTTTGAAGCAAATGAGCACTGGTGAGAGCGAAGGTGTATTCTCTGGAGCAGAAGGCCACAGCTCCAACCCATGCTGTTCCTAGTCCCAGTGTTGTCCTGCAGAGACAGTGTGAGTGACTTTGACCCGTAGCTGGGGAGCAGTGCAGAAGTAAATCTCTGCTCTGTTGAAATTGGTGGCAGGCTGGGTTTGGGGGGAAGTTTTTAATTAACGTCAGTGCATCACCCGTTGTGATTTGCAAATGCTTCTGGTTTCAAAGGCAGGATTAGCCCTGCTGTAAATGGAGACAAGTCATACAGGCAAAATGGAAATCAGTTAAGTTGGCTTCATCTGCACCTATTCTAAATTCTGCTTTTGAATTTTCCCAGTTCCAAGAAATGTAACTGGAGCGTTTGTGAATTTTATCCTCAGTGAAGCAGATACTAATATATAGAATGAACTGATCCACAGAGAAATTATACCATTACTTTTGTAAAACACTTTATGCAAGTGTATGTATGAAAATGTATGTACTTCTGCCAACTGGATACTTAAATTTAGCAGCTTGTCTGCCAGAAAAAAAATCAATTTGTATGCAGTGACCACCTCATATCTCCTAAATTCATGAAAGTTCTGGGACTGAGAGTTCATATTGATTTTTTTTTTAATAATATCTTAAGTTTTATTCCTAGGAATTGATTTCAGCTGTCATTTAGCATTATATATCAGTAAAGTTGAGTAAAGTCTACACAAGCAGTTCTTCTTTAACACAAATTAGCTCTAATATTTCTCCTTGATTAAGTATGACATATGTAGTTTTACAGTTTGACATTATGCAAGACCTAAATCTATTAGAAGTTTTATGAATTACAAGAAATGAGAAAATGCCATTAATTCCTGGACTCTTAAATGATTAATACCTGAAATTTTGCACAGAATCAAATCATGATGAAAAGTTGCATTTTGTATAACTCTGGACTTGGTGGTATGGTTGATAAATGAGCAATGCAACATGCTGCAGTGAAGTGCATATGGGCAAAATGGGGGGCAGCAATGAGTATATCTGCCCTAAATCAGAGATATCTCCTGACTTTCTACTCCCAAACTACAGACATATTACAAATATAAACTGAATGTGCTCTGAATAAACCAGAAGAGAAACTTAGCAGATGTGAGAGATATCCTTTCCAATGAAAAGTATTTCAGCCCATTCCTGGGATTTACTCACATGATCCTTCTGAAGTTCCAAAGGGATTCAGTATTTGAATCTGAAGCCTAATGATTGCAGCTCTGATCCAAAACCAAAACTGATCTTCTGAGGAAACCAAATTAGATCTGTTAATGTGTGCTTGTGAGTTTCTGAAAATCAGGTGACATTCGAGTGTTTCAAACTGCACAAATCAAAAGTGAGCAATGCTGGATTAAGTTCATAGGTGGCCATCAACATCTAATGAGATCCTAAGTGTATTTATCTATGTAAAAACAAAACAAAAAATCCCAAACCATAACCAACCAACCAACTAACCACGCAGCAACAACAAAGGCCACTTAGTTGGTATGCCATTCTGGGGACACAAAGGATGGGAATTAATCTTGTCATGCCTAAATATCTGCAGAGTAGAAATCTGTACCTGAGCTAAACAAGCTAATCTCCTTTTATAGCCTTTAAAGGAGCAATTCTATATGGAAAAATCTCAGCATAAGATGCTTCAAATAATCCTTTTTCTCTGCATTGAATGTAAATTGTATATGAGGTAGCTACTTCAGACAGATATCTGAAGTCTAGTGCAATAGATCCTACCTGTAAGATAGGATCACCAACACCTTTTTTATCATCACTGAATTTCTCTGAACTCTTGAATGTCCATTATTGAGCAGCTAGAGGCATTTCAGTCTTGTTAGTGCTAGACATTGAACACTTCTAATTCTGGTCTGAGTTCATACATTGAGTAGCAGTGAATGGGGGAAGGTATGCAATTTTAGAAAGACACATCCATGTTTAGATATCTACATGTGCATCATTACACTCAACAGACATCTAGTCAACAGCAGAACCAGAGAAGGATTCAGTCAGCCCTTGAAAAGGAGTGATGGTTACACACAGGGATTGAGCAATTTCTTAAGCACAGGGGAGTACCTATCTGACTTCCTGCCACCACTCCATCCCAGCATTCTCTATCTTATCTGCCAGCTCTGTGAAGATGTCTTCAGTGCCCTGCACTGAGTGCACCAAATGGCACTAGGCACTATTGCTTAAGTAAATTAATCTAATTCTCAGATCTGTTACCACTGTCAGAATGATGTTACTCGTGCTCTTTTGATGTTTTATGTTTAGACACTGTCACAAAAGGAGGCCATCATCCACTGCTTAGGTTTCATTTATCCATTCCACCTCCTGGCTTCATGCTGCCTTTGTGCACACAAAATTATTTCCAGGCTAGATTTAAACATAAACATTAACAGTTTCATGAAGGGTGGACCAAATCTTTGGTAAGTTGTTGATCAGCTTTGAGGAAGCACAGCAGAAAGCTGCTGCCATTCCAATTAGGACTGATACTTGTATTTAACAGAGGTCTTGTTAACCATGTCAAGAGTATCCTAAGTGATCCACTGGCATTTCAGAGATCTTTATATAAATGCTGTAGTGTTTTGTTTTGTTTTGTTTTTTTTTTTGTAATGTGTCTAGATCGACAAGACATAAAGATCTCAACGCAGGAATTATTAGGTGGCAGCCTGTGTGTCATGCAGTAGGTCACATCTGATAATCATAATGGTTCCTTCTGACCATGACAATCTCCAAAATGTACGAACATTTCACAAGTAAGAATCTGGTTAAAATATACAGATGACTGTGAGCAAAATTTACTCTCTGACCTTCAGCTCAGTGTGAGCCATGCATCAGACTTATGGCAGGACTCATCATAGTACAAGATTAAAGATTTGGGTGGAACAGGGCACCATGTCTTGATTAAACCAGAAGAAAAATCATAAATTGCCTGCTTCCCTCTAGAACAGAAACTGTTGTTTTTTTTCTTTTTTCTTTTTTTTTGGCCCCAGTCTGCAAATAAATATACTGCAGCAAACGTAAAAAGTATATCACTCTTTTTTAGTTCCTGTTTCATTACAGGTAAGAAACTGGGAGCATTGGAATCCAATACCACCTGCCCAGAGGCAGCACTTCATTGAGCTACTGAGTTAAATGTCACCTCACATCAGTTCATATATCTACCTCAGCTGAAGGAGGTAGAACTGCTCACTGTTTCTCACTGAGAAACTATTCATACATTTCCCCCATTATTCAAGTTTTATCTTCCCCAAGAAAGTTGTAAGTGGTGTAAAATGCATGGCATTCACAAGAGTCAGTCTTTGAAATGACACTGACATGACAAACTGGCTTCCACATAGCCTAATACTCCTCCTTGTGATTATTCCCATTAATCTTCATACAGCCCCTCATTGCCTGCTGATGAATTAGGAGCTCGTGGTGCCATGGTACAAATAAATTCAGGACATAAAGATATCTCCAAAGCACTGAGAACCTGCAACAGAGGTCAATGGGGGAAGCAAAGACTGTAGTGGGAAACAGGAAGAAAAATAGAGCCTGACTGTGACCAGGTGATTGGAAGCATATCAGCAGGCAGTGTGAAGTTATTTTGGGCCTAATGAGAAAGAGAAGATTGTGAAGACAGCATAGAGTATTGGTGGAAGTACAAGACGTCATTACATCTTGACATCTCTTCTAACACTAAGGACAGCATGGACAAAATGTATGAAAACAAATACTTGAACGATATCCAGGTGAGGAAGGGATGCTGGTAGAAGGGGACAGTCTGGTTCCAACTAACAAGGGATGCAGATCTGACTTCCAGCATGAGGGTGAAAGTAGTCCATGAAAACTGCCAGACAAGAAGGTAAGTAGGCTGGATTTGCTGCAATACTAAAAAGGAGTCTGTTGAGGATGTAAAAAGGAGAATTACATGATCAGTGGTACAAAAGTGGTTTTTTTTTGTAAACTCCATTCTGACTGGGTGCTGGCAGGACAAGCCATTATTCAGCAGAGCACAGGAGAAGGAAGAATGACAGAGACAAAAAAGATGGAGACTCTTAGTTACTCAGAATCTTCACATGACTGAAAAATGTTTGAGTCCAAACATTGATCATTTTCAATTGGTCTTCCTAATTCCTGACACTTCTGTTTCTTCTATTTATAGTTATGCTAGAAGCACC